GTTAGACTCGGTGTGCATCCTAGACACTGTATTTTGCCGGTTCAGGCAAGTGACCAGGGGTATCTGTTTGCTAAGCTTCAGCTGTCAATACTCAATTCACTTGGATACAGCTATCTCGAATCTATAAATGTCTAAAGATAAGGAAACTAACTCGTGATCAGATACTCATTAAACCAGTAATTCAAAAGCTAAACATACTTCGATAGTTCGACCAAATGACAATGGCATCGAAATTAGCCTCATTACTTCGCAGTGGAGAGAAACCCCCGCTCTCTACTGGCCCCAGCCGAGGATAAATAAGATGAACCAACTCCCATCCCGCGAAAACCGAGACTAATCAGCTAGACCCAGTGACCGACTGATTCATTTGGCGCCTATGTTCTTGGCTTCGCTCTATGTCCTCGTACCTACAGTAGTCGTCTCCATAGTGCCAGTCGTACTGGCATACTAGGTTCCAAAACGGCAAGTGGACATCTCCCACTCACCGGTGCTAGATTGCAACCAGGTACGGACGGAGTAATCTGTCGGTGATTCCATCGACTAACACTGTACCGGTTAGTCTGACTGCCATAGTGAAAAATGTAAGGTAATATGAACGCCCCACCGGGACGATCGGCCTGGTTTGCTTGCCAAGCTGTCTCATCGAGGATCCTGGTGAGGGATTTTCTGCAGTCGTGGAGTGGGAGATGGCTGGGCGATTGACTACATGACACATCGTATGGAATAGAGTAAAGAGTGTCGACGGGTGAAGTGACGATGACGGTTATTTATCATTAGCACGGCATTGGCTGTTCTCTATCGCTCAGGGGATATGTGATCTCGTAACAATTGCAGAGTACGAAAGAGAGAGGACAATTCCTCACCTTGAACTCGAGACCTGCGAGTCTGCAACTACCAAATGCCAACTAGACATTGTGCCATACTCCATCGTCCGCAGTCGCGCTCCGTAGTCGTCCTGGTAATAGGCAAATTTGCGGAGTAGCCTAGGTAGATTACACCCCACGCACGCTGCAACCGCAACTCAGCGCCGCCTCACCCTCTCCAAATCAGGCAATTGACATTCTCGAGATCTCCTACAACATCGTGCAGGACACGGACGAAAGTCCACGCCCACCGCGGAGAGTAGAAAGTACTCCTTAGTCACGACTCCCTTCCCATTTACGGTGCCACGTTCAACTGCATGCCGTACACCGCAAACTGCCGATATGCTCCGAACAATTGCATACAGAGTTCAAAAGTCCGCAGACTGCAAGAGGTGGCAACTGGCAACTGGCAAGGTGGAAGCGCTCTCGGACTGGCTTCCGATTTTGCAAGTCCGCAGTCTGTCCCCCGAGTCCGAGTCGGGATACTGAACGGACTACGGAGTAATCTGGAGATATCCCCTCGGGGTAGAAAGCACTAAGCAAAGCAGTGGCAAGCTCGTATCTCAGTCTGCAGTATGGAGAAGAGAGACATGCTCCATCGCATTAGACTTAAAGTGATGACCGGTATGGAGGTTTACATAATTGTTGAACGTTAGTTAGTGAATGGTAGGCGTTACAGGCTTATAGCAGAGAAAACTACTGCTTCCAACAAGTGACAAGATCTGGCAATTGTCGACAGACAACCGTCGTCCTCACTTCCTCAAACGATACTCAGGTAGGTGTGGAATATCGCTCTCCTCATCCTGTCAGCTCGGCATGGCGACTCTGGCATCGGTACCTTAGGGATTGAAGATGCTTTTCGGTCTGGTATCGGCCTACACGGCACCGCGGGAATCGGCACGTCGATACAAAGTTCGTTGCGGGATATATGATTGGTTCATCATGAGAGGTGACGACTGATTCCATGGGTGAGGCGAACCTTTCTTCGGTTGGATTCCACGATGATTTGACAATGGCGTTTTAAAATTTTTTCTTGTGAGGGTTTTTTCTGGCCCTACCAGGCACAGTTGTCCGTTACAGGCACAGGCGGGATACCTACGATCATAGGTACTACCTTACTACTACTACCGTACTGAAAAGTGGAAACTCCAAAGAAAAGGTACCGTAGAATAAAAACTTCTGTTGCGGTCGAGAAAACCCAAGTACTCTATCACGTTGATACGATGAGGTAGCACATTCTCTGCTGAGTTATGCTGGAGAGTCCTGCATAAATTGACATCGTTAGTCATCAGCATTCCTCAGTAGCAAGCATGAATCTTGCACAGATATTTTGATGCTGCACTTTATATCTCCTTACATCTAACATGCTCGTCACATTTCAGAAATGAACTACAAGCCTGTATACCGAGGCCTAGAACATGAAAACACTGAGACAGCTGCAACAACCACTAAACAATGCCCTCTGGACGTCCTCAGATTACAAAATGACACCGTCCAATTATCGCAATGAGGTATTCCTGGCTGCAACTGCAAACCATCCTGCGGCAGCGTCTGTTACAACTTCCCAAAAAAGGCGATCGACATGTGCGTTCGAGATGGGCGCGTTGACTATTGCTTTGCGGGTGTCGATCGCTATACGTTCAAAACCATAATTGTCCGATGCTGACTTGCAGTTGCATTTAATGTTATCATGTTCAGTAATGATGTAAGAGGATGGAGTAATTGCAACAGATTACATAATAGAGAGCCCTCTGATACTGTAGACTGCTTCATCCCGCCATGACAAGACTGCATCCATCATTCTATCTAGAGATTCCTGATGGTGGCCGACATAGCCAGTCAGAAAACGATACTGTCTATTAACTGCAAAACTCCGCAGGGAAAGCTTACCGCCAACAAGTCGCATCAAAGGACAGGATCGTATCCATAACAATGACGGCTTGACAGCGCGTGATGGCAGTGCTGCATCGCAAAGGCCAAGGAGCCCCTGAAAACGAACCCGGAGACGGGACTCGCATGATTCAATCCCAGATGCAGATCCCCTAAATAGTTCCGGGTAGAGTCTCAGACTCACAGGCTCAGTAAGCCTCGTTTCAAATCAGCCGTGCTTATGATGTCACTTGGGTCGATACGCATATTTGATATTCTGTTCTCCGGTGCCTGGCTAAATATATCCCAAATCTATGGCTGGAGCATCATGATATCTCAAGACGTGACAGGTATCAGTATCACCCTCGATATTGAGTCGATCATGATTCACGAAAATGAACAGATGGATAAACACAATCAACAAATCATTGACCAAGCCAATAGTTTACTTCCGCCAAGCATATTGAATCCCCTGATGTGCAGCCTGCAGCAAGGAACATGCTTGGCATCTCACTCTTTATCTCCATACGGAGTACTTGATCATGACATACGGGGTATGGAGTAGTCTCGACTATCCATCTAGTGATACCGCAGCTGCACCATCGCCAAACCTACTCCTCATTTTTGGTCCTCTGCAGATTCAGATTACGAGGGCAGACACGCCTCGCCCGCGAAGTAGGACAACAACAAATCCCATCCCACTTCTTGGCAGTCCATCAGAACAGCACTGCCTCCGTAACTCTATCCAGCGTTATGCGCATATCCCGCATGCTGAATACAGGGATGTCGTCTCACTGCCCGGGAAGTATTCCTGTCCTGTATACACCCTCCCAACCAACCATCTCCCTTCTATACCCTCCCGCCAAGCCCTGCACTGCATTCCCTCCCTTCTTCTATCGTCTTGGCAAGCCCTCCATTTCCCCCTTGAGGCAATCAGACCTGTCTGCGTGTCTGTCGAGGTATCACGGGAGGACCTTCCCGGTTCATTTTACCAGACAAGCACATACGCAGTTGTGCTGCGTTCGAGTCTTGGCAGCTCCCCTCCTTTACATGGTACATGCGGATCTGCCGAGACAGCGCAGCGCAAGGACTGGACTACTCTGTAGAGATGATCGATGTGGCAGGTGTGGTGATTGTACAGAGCTAGGTCTGACAATCCTCTTGGCACGGGGGGCGGACGAACAACGTTCGGATGGCGATGTCTGTGGTGATGTTGACTCTGCGGGTGAATCCGGAGAAGACAGGCTGGGTTGACTTGTTGTGATGCAGTGAGTTACACCGTGTTGATGGTTGTTGACATGGCAGTTGGCATTCTCTCCCACTCTGTGTAATGCTTGTCTTGGAAGTGAGGGAAGGGATCTTGGCGGTGGTGAGTGGTATGCAAGGTGGAAATATAGCTGAGGGAGTGGAAATGGATGTATTTATAATTAATAGTGTGATTAGACTCGAGGATAGGCGTGAAGTTTGTGTGCTTTGTTAGATTGTGCCTCTGTTATGCTACTGTAGTATGGGCTTGGTTATTAAGGTTTCTCTGAGGTCGCACTGAGGTTATTACAGTCATAATAATTACTGTCTTAGATTTTAACAGGATATTATACACGTAGCTAGCAAGTTGGGGTTGAGTGTCCAAGAGAGATAGGGTGTAATCTGATATGGCTGTTTAGAGAGGTACATTAGGTTATCAAACCACATGTTGTCCACTAAGTGATGTATATGTCTTTATGATATATGTCTCCTGAGCATTACCCGAGGCCTTCTTTAGCAGTTTATGTATTGATCCAAGTTCCCAGGAGATATCAATGTTGGTGGAGTAGATGGGACAGAAATATATATCCACTTCTATCCATGGAGGTCATAGACAACAACCCTATGTATGCATGACATGACATATTGTGATGATAACAGCAGACAGACATCTATCAGGAAGTCGACTTCAACGGTAAGCTCAGCGTTTAATGTGCTCAGAGACAACAGCTTGTGGTAACGCATTGCAGTTGTGCAGATGGAAAAGGTGTTGCTGGACCAGAGGATACTAGAAGCAGTTGATCCTGCTGGTACAATTATTCAAGCCTCTAGTCTCAGGAGGTAATACATTAGTGGTAATCAAGCAATTGCTTGAATGCACGGCTGATACTTGTCCACTGCCTCATAGCAGCAGAGGTCATTCATGACAGATCGAGCCACTTCAACTGACTGCCTTAACCGCTGTAACGTGACAGAACTATGTCGGAGCTGCTCATTACATCCAATGGATATACTTCCTTCTGATCAAAATGTGATCTTGATGCCCACCGTACAAGGCACCAGTGTCCCAGGCATAAGCCGCTCGATGGCGAATTTGGCCCGCCAACCCGTGCAGTGACCAGGCAATAGCACAGCTGGATCAAGCTTCTTCAAGTCTTTGATCGTGCTCTCCATCTGCTGTTCCTCACTAGTGGCCAGATGGAAGCCTCCCACAACCGCATGAAGAGGAACGGAACCATCCAGGCATTCGACTGCATGTCTCGCCGCGTTGACCACTCCAGCATGGCTGCAGCCTGTAAACATGATAATTCCTTTACCTGGTGCAGTCAGCATCGCCTATACAACAGGTAAAAGATGTATGCTTGTGCATGACCAACATGCCTTTTAGATTACACATCAGGAATCGTTCGTCAGCAATGAGCTCGTCAGAAAACCAGTCGTTATCCTCGTGGCTGAAGCGCATCCCTCCTTTCAGTCCGTTCTCGTAGGCAGTTTGCCGAGGGATTTCCCCCGATACGAAAAAGAAATCATCGAGAACAGTATGCCCCTCACCATGTTTGTCAACCACCGCCCCAGCTGCCTCGATCTCCTCGAACGTGGGATCAGCCTGGAGGGATATGATCTTCTGACCAATTGCCATCCCTCGATAATCGGGGCGCGAAGGGTGCAAATCTATTGACAGCCCCCCAGCAAGACCCTTGACCTGCTTGGCCTCGTTGATCAAGCGAACGGCGCGAAGAAGACCACCTGAGCATCGTCAACCGATATCCAACGGGCCTCAGCTGCCTGCGAACGAACCCGAGTGATCCCTATGCCAATGCGACAACTGGATAACCTCTACAGAGGCAAGGTCCGCCCGTAGCCGCTTCGCGTTCCTCTCCCAGGCATCTTCCTCCGGGCCTGCGTCGAAGAGCACCGAATGCCGCACGTCCCCTTTCGTCGCGGTCTGCGAAGCCTCAGCGTCGTTCTGAATCTTCGGCTCAGTGGCAGTCGACTTACCACAAGGATTGACAAGCCGTGCGCGGAGCAGCAGATGTCTTCCATTCTCAGCTCTTTCTGAGCATCACCCCTCTCCTTGAGGTCGTGGGGAGAGCACGTGGCGAGGCTACCCATGAGGCCGGAGACCTGGACGGTGTCTGGCGCGACGGGCGACAAGGGGTCGAGCTCATTGTCGATGATGACGAGTGCTTCAAGGGAGTCGATCTCTACGAGGTTAGAGCTGGGCATCTTGCTTATAGATTGGACGGTGTGTTCCGACGAGGAAGATTTCGTTGCGTGGAGGGGTAATAATAGAGGGGACCTGCGGCAGGTGAAGCGGCTGATTGCCTCGGGATGCAGGAGGCCTTGTCTGATAGTGTTGCTCTAGACTACTTGATCTTGGGAAAGAGATGTTTTTAGTTACCTGCTCGAAATTCAATGGCAAAGTTCAATTTTAGATACCTGTTCGGTGCACCTCTATATTGCGTTGATTACCTCATACTGAGGTCGGACTTCTGACCCACCTACAGAATCCCTACATTTCCACCATTAAGCCATTCAGCAAGAGATGGCTATACTCAGTCCAGCCAAGATAGAGTCAAGAGGCGAATATAGAATACTATATCTTGGACTCTCTTCTCAGATTATTTCTAGCCTCACCCCGGATTACCGTGCATCGAATGGTCAAAGACGCTCGCTTCTTGAGCCCGACTGCTCGAACGCCTGCAAGAATATCCGGGAGAAGTCTGATGGCATTTTTCGACTCTGAGATCTTCGGCGTCGTGTTGAGACCAGTGACCGCTGGTCTGATTTTGGACAAGTACCGAAGCTGAAGACGAAGAGCCCATCAAGACCAAGCACATCAATACAGTCTGCAGCTGTGCGAGCAAGAGCAAGAGCAAGAGCGAAAGGCTTCTGTAAACCTAACACGGAACTTGGTAGCAAGATCGTTCTCTATACAGCAACAGTCAAGGAGTTCCTGGCAGTCTTAGCGGAGTCTGTATCTTGTAGAGTTTGCCCACAAAGAACGTAATTTCTCTTCGCTCACATTGTGTGGTGGGCATAGCCAGCTGGCTTTTGCCATGAGGCCTTGGCTCTGGGTCAAGTTCTTCATTATTGCTCATACTTTATGACAAGCAATACTAGCACAGCTGAGTGGGATGCTTTGCTGCAGCACACAATGTCTCGGCGAAGTGGCTGGAAGGCTGTAAGCTGGTATCTTTAGAAGGAAAAAGGGTGAAGTATTCTGCTTTCTGGAGTCAAGATTACCCAAGATATACATGTTCTGCTCGATTTGACATACATCTGCAGAAGAAACCAATTGCCCATACGCTATCTCCTCAGTTTACTAAAGAAAAGCGCGCAGGGGACACAAAGGTGACGCCAGTGCCTTGTCTCATGAGCTTGATGGTACAGCCAGTAGAGTGCTCAGGCAAGAAAGAGCTGCAGACTTCGGAAGCTCAGTGAGGCTTTGATGCTGTGATGAGCCAGTGCACCGCAAAGTGGCTTCTCAATACTCTAAAAATTGATTCTCTCTGGATGAAAAGCCTCAATTCATAACAGCATCTCGGTGCCCTGGTCAAGGAGTCATTGCTGATGATGGACCCCCATAATGCGGGGAAATCCGCAGCGACGATCATCTCCAGTCTTCGCTTTGGCTCAAGTAAGGATCCAGATCAATATGACCATGGTCACTGGTAAGTTGTTAACTCCCATCATCCATCTTCTTTTCTAATTTCCTCCAGTCCATTCAACCTGATCCTTGTCCACCGCAGTGGACGAACCTACCCACGATGCGCTTTCTCCTCCCCGTAATCCTCCTCCTGCTCAGCGCATCCAACACCGCAACCGCCAAACTCGCCCCAACATGCTTCAAAGTCGTCGCCGCACTCGTCAGCCGACCAGGCGACCTGTACGAGAAATTCCAGCGCGAAATCTGTGACAGGGGCTGCCAGCCGACCGTCCCACACTGGGACCTGTGGACGCGCAACAACACCTTCCTGCCGGCCGTCCGCAGCGTGATGAAGCGGTTGGATATACCCCGACAGGAAGAAGCGATGGTGCAATTGGGCGATGATGCAGCGAAGATCATCAAACAGCGGTGCAGTCCGATGCTTGAGGGCAAACATATATGCTCGGATCCAGAGACGCTGGCGGGGTTTGGGAATTGTTTCAAGAAGACCTTTGTGCGGTCGGCTATTACGAATCTACCGGCGCTGTTGCCCATGGTGTCTGAGGCGCTGTGTCAGGAGCAGTATGCATATCTCAAGGATGATCAGTTGTGGGAGGAAACGATTCCGAATAATATGAGGGAGTACGCGGCTGTTTGTCGGGATTTGGGGAATACTGGGGATACTGAGAGTGTTCAGGGGCAGCTGGATGAGGGGAGTTATGATAATGATGAATTATAGCCTCAGGGCTTGTTTTAATTTACATACCCCTGGCAATGATAATAATAGCTGAAGTCATTGAATTCTATCTAAACTCAAGAGCGCGATGAGATCTCTGATGACGAAAGATGCTGACCGCCAGGAACTGTTTCTGATTGCTGTAATGTCAGCACTGTCAGCATTCATCGATCGATCTTATTCTTCTTTTCTTCTCCTTCATCATCATCATCATCATGGAAGTGACTGTTCGTTGCAGACTTCCATCTCTTCAAGACATCTCCTGACTGTCATTCATCAACACACCATGAGATACTGGACGTCTTGATGTCCCTTTCCTTTGTGTACTTCATCCGAATGGCGCCGCGAATGACGTGGGTTTCCCGCTTGATGCGGCCGAACCCCATCGTGTCTCATGGCCATCGACGCCTTCCTGCGACCTTCCTACAGCCTCCTCCTCGTCGTTTCATTCATCCGGGCGAATTCCAACCATTTGTCCCCCCTTCTCCGAGTTCGTTAGGCAAACCGACACCCGCAAAGACCTACACCCGCACTCGCAAATGGCTCCGCCGTCTCGCCTACCTCTCCGTAGCCACCGGAGTGATCTACGCCATCGACAACCAATTCTACGCATCCTCACTGACGCGGACGGCTCGGACCTTCTCACTCGGTCTTCTCGTCGCATTAGACTACAAAATCAATTTCCGTCCGAACCCACCGTTGGCTGAATCCATCACAGCCCTGCACGCCCGCAATGCGGAACGACTGTTTGATTTGCTCCGGCATAATGGCGGTCTGTATCTGAAAATCGGGCAGGCGATTGCGATGCAGTCTGCCATTCTTCCCCCGGAGTTTCAGAAGATGTTTGCCCGGATGTTTGACGATGCGCCCCAGAATGACTGGAAGGACGTGGAGAAGGTGATCCGGGAGGACTTTGGGAAGTCGGCTGAGGAGGTCTTTGGAGTGTCTTTCACAGGGGACCCGACCAAGGGCGTGTTGGAGCGCAAGGCTAGGGCGAGTGCGAGTGTCGCGCAGGTCCATTGGGCGCGATTAGCAGATGGGCGAGAGGTCGCTATTAAGATTCAGAAAAGGGAGATTGCTCAGCAGATCCAATGGGATCTGTGGGCTTTCAAGTAAGTCTACCACGTCATTCTTTGGGGACGGAGGCTAATGAGACCAGGGTGGTCACTTGGATCTATTCCCGCACATTCGATATCCCATTCTACAGCCTGGTACCATACATAAGCGAGCGATTGTTCCTGGAGACGGACTTTGAGAATGAAGCGACTAATTCTGAAACCATGGCCAAGCTCGTGGCCGGCGAGTCCCGTCTACGAGGCCGCGTCTACATTCCCAAAGTCTACCGTGAGCTTAGCTCGAAGCGTGTCATGACCGCTGAGTGGATCGAAGGAATCCGTTTGTGGGACAAAGAGTCCATTACACGTCCGTGGCTCGGTGGTTGGCGCGAAGGCAGCCCGGGATGCCAGGGGACGCCGTTAGATGCTTCTCAGGCCGAAGATCCGGTGGCCAAGGCCGCGGGGAACCCCAATCTGATCAAGCTCAAGCCGGAGCGCGACCACTGGCGCGGCTGGAACGGCAAAGGCGGGCTAGGTCTGTCGCTCAAGGACGTGATGACGACCATGGTCGACCTCTTCTCCGCACAGATGTTCCTCTGGGGCTGGGTGCACTGTGATCCGCATCCAGGCAACATCTTCATCCGGCGCAAGCCCTCCGGCCAGCCGGAGCTGGTTCTCATCGACCACGGCCTCTACATCCACATGGATCCAAAATTCCGCCACCAGTACGCGCGCTTCTGGAAGGCGCTTCTGGCCTTCGACAACCGCACCCTCAGCGAGATCGCCGAGGGCTGGGGCATCAAGAACTCGGACATGTTCGCCTCCTTCACGATGATGCGCCCCTACCGCGGCGGCGACCTCTCCACCCGCCAGCACCTGGAGGGGCTGAGCAAGAAAGAGCGCGCCCAGCGACACTACGAGATGCAACAGGCGGCCCGCAAGGCCATCCGCGAGATCCTCGCGGACGAGCACAAATGGCCCCAGGAACTCATCTTCATCGGCCGCAACCTGCGCATCGTCCAGGGGAACAACCAGTTCCTCGGATCGCCTGTCAACCGCGTCAAGATCACGGGGACCTGGGCGTCCCGCGCGCTCGTCGAGTCGCCCGATCTTCCCTGGACCGAGAAGATCCAGAACCTCGGTCGGCATCTCCTGTTCCGCATGGTGCTGTTCACCAGCGACCTCTTCTTCTACTTCACCAAGGTGCGGCAGTTGCTGCATCTGGGCGGGGGCATGGAGGATGATATCGAGAAGCAGATGAAGGATATGGCCAAGGATATGGGGGTGGATTTGAACCAGAGCGTTTTCGAGGGGTAGATCTCAGTCTCTAGAACCTCTCCTCTCGATTGTACTATACGATTAGATGAACATACACAATAGAGCCAAAGTCTCGTTTTATTCTACCGATGTAAATATAAGCGCCGTACCAAGAATCCTACCTTACCCATCCCAGACCATAAAACTCCCGCCAAATCTGACCCATAATTACCGTCATCGCTCATAAATTAGGAGAAAAAGCAAAAGAAAGAAAGAAAGGGGTATCTAGTATTCCCACCCCGACAGCCCCAACGGCCTCCACTCCTGCCCCGGATACGCCGTACTCGACATGGTAATCTCCTCGCCGGAGTCGTCATCCCAATGCACGGGCAGTTCCACCGGTGCATCGGCGGGATTGATCGCCCTCGCCGCGCCGCGGTGCGGATGGCCCTGGCTCTGCCCTTGCTCTCCGCCCTGGCCTCCACCCTGGCCTCCACCCTCCGCAGCCTTCTCATCCGCAACAACAGGCTGCTGCGGCTGTCCATGGACCTCCGAGTCCTCCTCGTAGGTCGGCAGCCGCGACGACTGCAGGAGCCGTTGCGTGGTGCTCTCCAGCCAGGTGCCCTTCGCGGCGGTCGCGCCGGTGGCGTAGTCCTCGTCCGAGTCGCTCGGCAGCATGAGTTTCCAGGGGAGTTCCTGGTCGCCGATGCGGCTGGTGCGCGGGTTTCTGCGGAAAGTCCCCAGGTTGTGGGCTGGGTCGGAGGTGTCGGTGCTTGGGTAGCTGCGTTCTTCGGGCCGTGGGGGGAAGGTCTTGGGGCTGCGGGAGCGGAGGTGGAGGT